AAATCTCCACATACACTCTAGCTTGCAAGAGCATGATTTATTTCTAAATCTATACCAATCTCGAAATGGCTAGCCTTCTAACTCGTCACTCCCCTCGGTTTCCCCGTCCTCAGTTTCGCTTCCTGAAATGGTGGACAAGGGAAAACTATGAGATAACTCAGTAAGTAAATATGGATAGCCCTTGGGTAAAACTTTTAAGCACGCCAGATAAACAGTTTAATATAACCAAAACGCTCGGTGACAAAATCAGATTCAGTTTAATTGCAAAGCATTCAATGACAACTCGTTAATGCAAAATCAGATTCAGTTCAATAACAAAATGTTTCATGACAAACCGTCAATGCAGAAGAAAACTCAGTTCAGTAGTCTCATCTATAAGTCATGGCCAGCGTTTATAAACCTCCCACTGGCGGGCACAGTAGTTGCCAATGTTTAACCCCATTGGCAAGGTTACAGAAGTGCCAGTGTTTAACAACTCCCACTGGCAGGCGTCAGTAATGGTGCCAGTGTTTACAACTCCCACTGGCAGGCGACAGTAATGGTGCCAGTGTTTACAACTCCCACTGGCAGGCGACAGTAATTACCAATGTTTAACCCCATTGGTAGGGTGAACCGGTTCTACAGAAATACATGTCGACATGTGCTAGCGTTTATAAACCTCCCACTAGCGGGCACAGTAATCAGTAATCATGACTATATCCAAGACAAAACCATGCAGAGTTTACAGGAAAACCCGAATTTCACAATCGATCTCGAATTTCAGAACAAATCGAAAAATTTCCATGTGGCATGGATTTAACAGAAAACTCAGAATTTGCAAACTCTCAGTTCATCAAAACAATTCAGTCAATTCCAAATAGGCATGCTCTACTCAATACCAATGAAAACAGTTTCATTTCAAACCAATCATGCTCGGTGCAATAACTCTAGAAAAACAATGAAATTCTCACTTTTCATTTCAATCATGCTTAATTCCAGAAAAACAATGAAATTCCCATTTTCATTCCAATCATGTTCAATTCCAGAAAACAGTGAAATTCTCATAAAAACCATCACAATTTTCATTTCAGTTTAATCACATTCAGATGCTGATAAAATCAATTTAAAATCAATTTAAACCTTGCCACCATCTCAAAAACAGTTTAAAACATGCTTTAAAATCGAAGGGTTTACCATGATTTACTTACCTTACTCGCACAGAACAGAAGGCTAACCCAAGTGCTACGGTGACAGAACAATCAAAACCTAATCACAATATTCCAAGAATTAATATCACACTACCATAAATTCAAATTGAAATCATCATCAACACTACCCCTAATCACAGTGCTATTTCTATCAATCTCCTCATAACCAGACATCTCCAAATTTATTCTTATATCACAAACTAATCATTTAAATCCCAGTTAATTATTGACCCTCGGTGTGTGAACAGTGCCTATGAACAGTACCCACGAACAGTGCTCACGACGTGAACAGTACTGCCAACTTCCAAAAATTGGCCAAAACACTAGCTAATTCACAGGATTTTCTCTATAAAATTCACAGCAGCCAAATTAAGCTAATTCTACATAAATCAAGCACAAAAACACATTTAAAAAGGGCTGCCAAATTCATCCCCTATTCCAGCAGATTCGGACAACACAGAGCATCAACTAATAGACAAAACCCAGCAATTAAATGGGTAATTCAAACTTGGAAGAGCCGGCAACTTACTAGAATTTTCGGTAAGCAAAGGCCGGTTCCGGCTGGGAAGGAAGCCGACGGCATCTGCAGGGGGGGCTCACGGGCTACCTCAAAATTGAGGGAAATAAAAGCAATTAAGGTAAACCCAGCCTAAATTAAGCTGAAAAGATAAGGTTTATGGCTGTGGCTTACCCGAAAAGTGCCCAGAAATCCAAACCCACATAACAGCCGGCGGACAGGGGAGAAGAGCAGAGCAGATCTGGAATTTCCAGCAGAGGGGGGGGGG